TAAACAGAAGGAGAGCTTGTATTTGACTGCGGGGGCGGAGGGATCGTCCGGGGTGGGATTTGCCCTCATGCTCCCATTACATGTGCTAATTTTACTCTCGTGTAACCTCACTCCTCTTTGCCCCCCTGCAGGAGGAACTCAGTTGGATGAAAGTCATAGTACGTTGCGTTCCTAAAGCAGAGATTAGATGTTGGAAAGGGAACAGGGCTCGTTTTTCCGTGGGCGGAAAAATAGAGTTTAAAGTTTTAGGACGTGCAGCTGCACTTTTAGTACATCCAGCACACATTTATATCACTATAGTCAAGTCCCTTCACTCCAAAATAACGTCAGTCCTAAACAAAATGAATAAGAGAGGTCAAAATGACCTTTAATGAAAAGTCGTTCCCTCCCGGCTACATTCTTCTCTCCTTGTTTTCTTTGTGTGCAAAGGAAACTTGATGCTTGCATGTGCTTCCTTGATAAGAATAATTAATGTGCTGCTGATGGAGAGACTGCACTGGGCAAACATGAACAGAAGTAAGAAGCTTAAATAACTTCTGTGATGAATAGTTTTATCTCTGTTTTCTCGGTGTGCTGGGTTATTGATCGAGGGAGGGGAATGGCTTCAAAAAGGCAGGTCAGCGAGGCGATGGGCCTGTGAATGATTAACAAAGTAATAGGTGGAAAACAGTCTGAGAAAATAAACACGGACATCTTCTCCCCGGCACAGCCGGGTTAAAGGTGCTGCTCTGTGGCTTAAAAAAAAAACATGAGCCACAGATGTGTCACAGCAAGAAGACAAGGTTGCAGAGCTGAAGTACACTCGGGTGGGGATCATACACGGGCAGCTGCAGATACATGAGCGTGTATTCATTGCTTTTGGAGTCCTTTAAAGCTGCTCAGTGAAATTTACACCAGTGGGAGACGAGCAGTAGCTAATAGATTAGGCTACACCTAAAATGTATTCTACTTTCACTTTTTTTCCTCAATTCATTCTTCATTTAATTATTAAAAAGAAATGTCCACCTCCATTTTTTTCCCCTAATCTCTAGTTAATGACCTTTATGTCTGTCCAGTCTGCCAGTGTGATGAATAGTTATATTTACAGGGAGGTGCACATCGGGTTACAGCAGAGGTTACAGAAGCTAAATGTCAGTGTTCCTGTTTTACATTATCACCAAACCCACTTCTTCACAGAAGTGCTGTGCACGTTGTTAAGTCAGCTGAACAACGTGTTAGTAGCTGCTAATGCTTTAAACGTTAAAAATCATTAAACCTAAATGTTGTTAACTCATATTATTAGCATGTAAAACAACAAAAAACACAAGTTTATAGTTGATTTTTGTTTTGCAAAACAAAGATGCAAGATGCAATCCTCACATCTTCTTTTTTTTTGGGGGGGGGTTAATTACTGTATTTGCTATACATTATACAACATTTCTACTATGGCCTGTTCTCTTTAAACCTTACAAAATGATCTACAACTGTCAAAATAATGTAAAGAGACAAATGGTATGCCTTTATATCCCAAAGATGTGCTGTGTGGAAGAGATGTCAACAGAAGTTGAACTAGGCCTGGGTTGTACTTTCATGTTATACCAGTTCAGACCAGCAGATGGCGTAGTGAGTTAATGTAACCTTTATTTAACCACTAAAATCTTAAAGAACACATTTGTCTTGAAGCTCGACTCTGCAACTTATTTTATTTTGTTTTTATTTGTTTTTCTGTGGTGGAGACAAACTTCTGTAAATTTTAAAATGCTGAGTGGTAAAATCGTGATGCTGAAAGTTTAAGAAAAATTTGCAGAAAGAAGTATCTTTAATGTTTTGTTTTGTTTTGTTTTTTTTAA